TGTCCATCCAGGATCATGTTGAAGGATATTGCATGCCCCATCAAAGCTTGTTCGATCCAACTGAGAGGTTGATGATCTTGTGGGAGCGGTGGTTGGACATAGAAGATTTGGTTGGTTGTTTGAGCTGATAGAGGGATTGGGGGGTTGGCCATGGTGTGTGCTCTCTGGTGTCTTAAAATTTGGACTAGACGATGTCGTCTCCTCTGAGATACTAGTATTCTTGGCATTGTTATTTGTGGGGGAAAAGTTTATATTTTGGACAGTGTGTGAGGCTACTGTCGGAGGAAGTGGTGTATCTATATTTCTAGGAGGAGAGGTACTTGTTATCTCTAGTGGCGTGCATATAAGCTTGCTTGAGTTTTTGGTAATGGAAGGATTTGGTTTAGATTTAGCCTTAGGAACGTGTAAGTTGTCATCTTCCATTTGTTGTCCAATGGCAGGTTCTTGGGACAGGTGTTCCCCTTTGGTTTTGTCCCTCATGCAAAGGTTTGTAAGGTTAGTAGTAATTTGATTAGGTTCATTAGAAGCTAAGTGGTCATTAGGCAGTCTATGTGGCACGGTGGATTGAGTAGTATAATTAGTAGTAATAGGCATGTAATTAGTGCCATGCATGTTGGGTGATTGGTCACAAACTTGCATTGCCACGTGGCAATTCTCATTAGACTCTAATTCCATGCAATCCTGGTTGGGCGGAGTAACCAATACTTGGAATTTATTTTCAGAATTTTGAGTTTGAAGGGGGTTATTTCCTTTAACAATGTAATGCTTAATAGGATTTTTATGGGAATTTTTGGGAAGGGATTGCTTACCAGTAGCGATAACGTTTAAGGAAGTAGAAGAGTGTATACCTGGCAATGACTTTGATTGATCATGTAAGGTACCTGAATTGGTTCTTTGATTGGCCTTCTTTTTTGTTGGGAAGCTCACTGTTCTCCACTCCTCTTCTTCTTTATTAGATTGCCTTGAAACATCATTGGCACATTGCACTGGAGCAATAGTGTTCTTTGATTGGTGGACGGTGGGGTCTAAGGCAACTGAGGAGGGGGTATTGGGGACTGAATTAAAGGAGCATTTTGATTGAACAAGCCCAAGTCTTCCACATTTAATACATAAAAGATTTCCATCTTCATAATAAATGGTTTGTTTGTGGGATCCGATCAAAATGGAATGTGGTACTGGGATGTCCAAGGGCAATTCAATGCATAGCCTAGCATATCTTCCCCTAAGGGTTGAGGAAGTGCAGGCATCAACCTTAAGCAGCTTGCCAATTTTGTTGCCAATTTTTGTCAAGATTATACTATCATAGAACTCTGTAGGCAACTGAGGGAGGCGGATCCATACCGCTGTTTTTGAAATTCTTGCATCGGATGCAAGGAAATTTGGCTCCCATCTTTGAACTGATAAGAAATGACCATAGATGAACCAAGGACCCATGTGCAAAGCCTTTTTCATTGTCTCTTCATTACTAAATTTGGTGATAAAATAATCACATCCTAAATCGATTAAGGGAAAATTTCCCTTTGCTTTCCATAGCTCATGTAGCTTTTTTTTGAGCAAATGGTGTTGAATTCTTCTTCCTTGCAATTGATTATAGTTGAGAATTTCCAAGGCTCGTAAATCCGATGGATATCCTCTTTAGTTAAGTGGATTTGTTGTATATTTGGCAAGCATAGTTGCTCATCTTTCTTAGCTTGTACACAATTTGATGAGTCATAGACATTTGCATCAATGGTCATGTTAATTGATGTCTCTTGTTCACCATGGATTAATTTGTCCTTAAAGGTTGTAGTAGGCAAAATGAATTGCTCGAGTGTTTTAGTAGTTGTGATATCTGGTGGTTTAGGAGGGGGTGATTGATGAACTTGATCCAAGTCCATTTGAGATAGAAACGGGAGAGAATTCTAGAGAGAGAAACTAATCTTTTTGGGTGTAAAAATTGGGTAAGATCCACCGAAGTGGGAAGCCTTAACCAGATGTGTCTGATAACAGGTAAAGTCCGAAGATTGTTCCCGTCCCTATCAGGGGAGATGCCAACCGTCTCTCCTTTCTACGAACACGCTTATCGCGAAAATCTAATACAACCAAGATTCGCATATAACCTTCATCGCAAGTATTTCACATAAAATCTTTTATTATAGAATTACATGCGGAAACATATGTTAACAACAGTGTTCTGGTTCGAAATATGTTTAACGGAAAGATAAACGAAAAGAGATGAAGCAGAATGTTAAATCCGATCCCACAAATTTCTTGTGTCTCCTTAAGGAATTATAACCCTCCCACAGTTGCCAAGGATTGTGGGTTACTTCCTCCCAGGATAGAACGGAAAAACGTTTCTGTGATAGTGGCAATACAAATCACAGAATTCCAACGAACTCAAAGATACGCTGCAAATCACATGACTTACTGTTTTGTTTTGATGAAAACGATGCAGTAATTTAGTTAGGAAGAAGGAGAGTTTTTGAGAGTGATGTCTGTAAAAAAAACTGAGTACTGAAATGAGGCAAAGCCTCTGGAATTTATAAGCCAATGATTCTGCCTAAACAGTGCGAACAGACCTGTTCGGGAATGGAGTTAGGGCATGTCTATTAACAGACACGGCTGTTGGAAAGAAGAAAGTTGGGTTCTTTGTCTGTTAACAGACACGGCTGTTGAACAGAACAACGTTAACTTCTTTTTAATTCAAAAAGTAATAATAGGAGGAAACTGTCAATTAATTAAAATTAATTAATTAAGATTAGGTCCAAAAATTAATCTTATCGATCGATCATTTGACCAAATCCAAATCCAAATCCAAAGCCGAAGCCGAGCCGAGCGACGACGACGGCGCGAGGGGTTTCTCTTCTTCTCAACCTTTTAAGAGGTAGAGAATGTGTTTCTCAACATAAACACATATTGGATGGTTTCCCCATCCAATGTGGGACAATCCACTTTGCAAGACTTAATGAATTTGAATTTTTCATTTCCCTCCAAAAATTATTTCCTCCATTTTCCTTTCACTCCACTTAATTTAAGACAATGCATGTCTTTAAATTCCAACAATCCCCCACATGAATGGGGAATGGCCTAAAAGAAGAGGATATGCATAAAAAACTGTGTGATTTGCAATTAAGGATTAGCTGCATTTGGATAAGTAGGTTTCCCTTTGAACTTTCCATAGTGAACTTATATCGGATATACTCGGTCAATCGGTAGATTTGATATCTTTGAACCGTCGAGCTTTGGTGTATACCTAGACAACATAAGTCACACAATTAACCCTTAAACGTCTTTGGTTCTCATTGTTGTGTTCGTTTCATCCATGAACACCTCCTGGTTTCATAAGTGTATAGAGAATTTGGCCTTGCTAACTTCTCCTTGAAGCGGCTTACACTTCACACTTACATAGGTGATTTCTAAGCTGTAACCCCGGAGATTACATTTTCTGATAATTCCTGTATCAGAATTAGATAATCATTAAAAAGCTTTAACCGCTTTATCTTTGTTCCCTAACATTGTCCTTTCATGAGAATGGATCACAGAGTTTTATTTTGACAATGTTCCACTGTCTTTCATAACTTTGTTTGATCTCCTTGAACCTAGATCTTGGGATCTCCAGTCTTCTAGGTAGAGTTACCGTTATGATTGACTTTCCATCGGCCACAGACCCATTCCCTTTGTTGTGAACTCAACTGCCTCTCTAGTAAGGCCTTTTGTAAGCGGATCCGACACATTTTCCTTTGACTTTATGAAGTCAATCGAAATGATTCCTCTAGAGATCAGTTGTCTAACCGGTTTAGGTCTTCGTCTTATATGACGACTCTTACTGTTATACATAACATTCTTTGCCCTTCCTATAGCTGATTGACTATCGCAGTGAATGAAAATAGGTGTCAGTGGTTTGGGCCAAAACGGAATATCTTCCAAAAAATTCCGAAGCCATTCAGCTTCTTCACCGGCTTTGTCTAAAGCTATGAACTCAGCCTCCATCGTTGAGCGAGCTATACAAGTTTGTTTGGATGATTTCCAAGACACAGCTCCTCCTCCAAGAGTGAAAATGTATCCACTTGTGGATTTTGAGTCATGTGAGCCGGTGATCCAATTTGCATCACAATATCCTTCAACTACCACTGGGTATTTGTTGAATGCAACGCATAATCTTGAGTATATTCTAGATATCCCAAGACACGTTTCATTGCCATCCAATGAGTTTGATCTGGATTATGCGTGTACCGACTCAACTTACTGATAACACATGCTATATCGGGTCGTGTGCAATTCATGATGTACATTAAACATCCAAAAACCCGAGCATAATCCAGTTGAGACTTGCTCCCACCTTTGTTATTCTTTAATGGAAGATTCACATCAATAGGAGTTTTTGAAACTCTAAA